CATGCCAGACCTGAGAGACTGGCGCCCTGCCTTCCTTTCCCACTGCTGATCACAGATCAAACCACGGGCCTTGCCAAACAGTAGGAACCCAAAACTCACCGTGGGGAGGAGATGGACGCAGCGGTGCCGGGTGGCCCTGCCGCCAGTGCGAGGACTTGGCCCCCTCCAGTGGCTAAATACAGAGGAGAGGCCAAGCACACGGCTCCTCACACAGCTCGTGCTGGGGACCATTTATGTCACCACATTTGCCAATTTCTGTCATTACAGCCACATTACAGCCCCTTCAAATAACCCTGACTATGGCCAGGTTAGGGTATCCCACTCCCAATATTTGCTGATACCAGGAAAAAACACTTCTTCAAAAAGGAGCTTCCTCCTAACTCACTGCTTCGTGCACGCTAAACTCCCTGCAAATGCCATGCTGCCATGGTCTGGGCCCAAACAGGCATTTCACGCCACACAGCGTGAGCTGAAAGGCCTTCCAGCTCTCGCGAGGCCACTCTGTTGTTTCTCTTGAGGCTAAGGCTGACATCTCTGCCAAAAGCCACATGCTTCACATGCTCATCACCATCACTGCAACAGACATTTACAGAATGCTCCAGCAAAGGGGAGCAAGAGAAAACAAACCAAAACAACAACAACAGAGCAAAAACAGAAGCACACAGAGTGACGGCTCTGTGAGAAAGAAATAAAATCCCATGGATATCACAGAACAAGGATCACCCTTAAGAGCTGGCTGGAAGGGAGGAGAGGTGAAGACTCTCCTTAGCTCAACGCTACAGAAGGCTGTTCCCACCCGGCCAGTCCGGGTACGTACCATGGCGGTGAGACGCTCCGATTCCCGCACCGTGGCCACGGAGCTCAGCAGGGCAGCCAGGATCAGCATCATGCCGAGACACATCCCAACGCAGAAAGCTGGAAGGAAGACAGACGGGGAGCTGCAGTTACACACGAAGGCTTTAGGGCCGCCCCTACGGGAAGAGATGCTTTCACCCAAATAGAGACCAAACAGTCTGTTTTGAGGACCTGCTCCAAGAGGGCTGGTTGCAGGAGAACTCGTATCTCCTACAACTTTTTCAGTGCTCCTCATATCTTTATGGCCTGCCTCTCCTGCAAAACTGTAAGTCTCCGAGTAACCCCCTGACTGCAGCAGAGCGGGGCACCCTGCAAACGTGCCAGCCCCCCTCCCCAGCAGACCACAAGCTGTCAGCAACTCCAGCAGCCGGATGCAGATCCCCCGATCCGGCGGGCACGGAACAGGAGAGGCCGCCGCGCAGCCCCTATCGCGAGCTCACGCGCCCCTAATCTCATGTAACAGCCACACTCTGGTTTCCTGGCTAAAGCAGGGTTGTAGGCATACCCCATGGGAGGATTCGGGGTGCCCGGGAGGTTGCACTGCAGAATGGGGGCTGAACAGTGCGGAAAATCCACGCTTGTGAGCAAAGCAAGCAGAAAGACCACTCAAAGCCTTGGTATTTAAGCAACTGAGGGTGGCTCATAAAGGAGGGCCTGCAAGGCTGAATTAGGTGTCAGTTCACATAACCCTAATGCACAGGGCAGCAGTGAGAAGTCTGGGAGACAACTGTATTTACATCTGCCTATTTTATGGCAAACTGGAGCTGGTACCAGCAGCTAGAGAAGTGTGAGGATGCTTTAGCCCAAAGTACGGTTTCAGAGAAGAAGCAGAAACAAGTGCACCAGCCACGAACAGACTATTTCAGTATTTGGGCTGCTCTCATCACTTTGCTCTTAGCTAGCCTTTTATCTGAAACTCAGTTTCTGTTTCTCCCTTGGCTAATTTGTGTAGTCCTCCCCTTATCACCTCTGTACAGTTCAGAGCATGAACTAAGCCAGGAAACAAACCACATTTCCTGCAGGAAGAGGCTTTTCCATGCATTTCTCCCATTCTCCTTTCTTTAAGCTCTCTTCCAGCCTCCGTAACCACCTCTCTCCTCATACTCCTGCTCTGTTCTGTTTCTCAACATTTTTTCCTTCTACCTGCCAGCCTAACCCACCCAAGTGCTTAAAGATGGAGAAGCAGGGCTGCAATCCTGATATCATCCTCCTATTTATCCTTTTTTCAGTCGAGGCAGTGTAGATGTGGCCAAGAAAACACAGCAGGGCCATTCTTCAATGGCAGGTCCAAAACAGGAAAAGTTTTCTGGACAATTGTGTACTCCAAAGACCATGCCCTGTTTCCTCATGGGACATTCCTCCTGCATGTCCACGATGCTTTGAAGATGCTGGGCTCAGCCAAGTCCCACTAGGAGGTGATGGCAACATACCTGTGTTGTGGATAACTTTGTAGGAGTTGCTCTCAAAAGCAACGTTGCTGATGAGGGTGAAGTGGAGCCCGAAGCGAGTGACTGTGCTCAGTGCGGCAATCGACAGCCCCAGCAGCTGAAAAAGAAGATATTTGTGAAGGGAGTTGAAAGGCAGCAGCTCCTGATGAGCTATGCAAAGTTTTAAGGTATACGTGGTACTTTTGAGTCCTACCCTAGAGGCAAAAAGCTCAATTCAAGCAGCATTGCCCATAACCCAAAAGGCAAATGAAAGTACAAACCCTGGACACGTAAGTTTACTAAAGCTCTTTTTTCTGTCCTGCATAATGATGTGCACATGTGCCACTGAAACCTGCAGTCTCTTAGCTAGTGGTAGCAGCAAAAAAAAAAAAAAACAACTGTACCAGGAGTAAGCCAGAGGATTGATGCTTTCGTAGAACACCCATGCAGCCACCTCCTCTGTGGACTACACAACGGGATTTATAAGGGCAACCAAGTGACTGTCATCGTACTGCCTTCTGCATTGCCCAAAGCAAGTCCTGGCATTTCTGATGGCATCCTGATCTATGGCAGCTCCTTGGAAGACAAAGGGCAATAGAGCCAAGACAGAGACCGCAAGAGTGGACAAGATAAAAAGAGTTCAAACCTCCAGTGTGACAGACCCTGAAGATAAGATGTTGCGAGTCCACTTCTGCCTCCTAAGACAAGTTTTCAACCGTACGTCTTTACAGCATGGAAACACAGGGCAGCTGTCTCCATGTTAAACATTTAAGTGAGGTGTCTGAAATTCTCACATCCTTCTAGGTATGAACCGTTCTTCTAGATTCACCTAATGGCTCTTGCTGAAGATTTATAGTTTTAAGGACTAAATGCATCCAAACTGTAGCATACTCTGGTTATAAGTAATCTGATTTACAGCAAGTGCTGTTCCTTTACTGCTGTGCATTATTGCATATCTCTGCCCACACCCAGTAAATGCTAAGTGCGGCACTAGCCAGCTCAGATTTCTGAGAAACACTGCTCTGAATAAATCCACAGAACAGCAACAATATGACTGCAGCCCTCCACAGTCACTTCTGTCTTAGCACGTTCTTTGAATATGTTTGGTAAAACTCCTCCTTGGGCTTTGTCCAAATGACGTAGTCTGCAGCGTTAACAGCCTCTCTTGGAGGACAGCGCTATGTACAGCGACTGAAGTCAGCAGTTCTGAAATGCTGAAACTTTGAGAAACTAGAAATTTTGAAACAAGGCATTAACTTGTACCTTTGATTGTACTCTTCCTAAGTCTCCATCCCTCTTCAAGCTAACTGCAGAACTTTCAAACTTGGTGGCAGGGAGAGAGAAAATTAGTTTTGATCAAGTTAAAACACAAAAAAATCCAGCAAAACTCAAAAACACCCAGAAAAAGTATTTACAAGTTTCCATAACTTCCCATCAGCTCTAAAACCGGTATTGTTTTCCTCGAATTCCTCAGGAGATGACAGGAAGCTCCCATTAAATTTGCATCAAAAGCTAATTAAAAGAAAAAAAAAAAAAAAGAGGGAAAGCAGATCCCTAGAACTGCTGTTGTTCTGCAGTGCAAGCACCCAAGTCCTGAAAGGGGCCCTTCTTTCTCATATATTTCCATCAAAGCCCTATGATTTGATAACCTCATTAAGTACCTTTATAACTAATCACAAAACCAGAAACAAGTGCAGTTACAGCCAAGTCAAGCTCCATCTTTCGCTCTTTTAAACCCGGGGTTTTAGCAGCGAGCGTTAAGAACAGCTGAGCCTGACGGCCGCAGCCCTTCTTTTTCCACCGTTAAAGGCTCCCCACGGGTTGCGAAACCGTCGCGCTGCATCGACAGCCTTGAGAAACCAGAAGTCTATCAGGGAGCAGCGGTGACGCTGGCAGCCAGCGATAACCGCTGAGGCCGGGGTGATAACGTGGAGGGCAGTTGGCTTTGCCTGCCCTCCGCGTGTTCCAAAGCGCAACGTGGGAAAGCGAGAAACCCCCCAGACCTTTGGGCGCGGGGGTCCCGCTCGTGTGGAGGTGCCCCCGTCCCCCGCTGGTTACCATGGCGCAGAGGCTGGTGGCCAGCAGCTGGCACTTGGTGGTCCTCATCCCGCACCTCGGTCCCGTAGGCAGCTTTGCTGCCTCAGTGGCAGGTCCCCACAGCTCTCGATAAGGCCGGGGCTTCAGCCAAACTGGGGCTCGCTCGCAGCAGGGCCTCTTGGGAAGTGTAGTCTCCACCTACGCAGAGACACCTCCTCTAGCCGGGGCGGTAAATCCCACCACCATGCATGGTCCTCGCCTTCCCAGGTCCTCCATGATCTACTGCAGCCAGACAGGAAGGAAAGGAGAGCAGGAAGGAAAACAACGTTTTTCTGAGTTCAGAGCAAACCAAAAATCAAAAAGAAAACCAACCCCCCCCAAAAAACAAGAAAACAACAACCCCCCCAAAATTTTTACGAATCAAAACTCAACACCAAAATACCCCATTTTCACTAAGAAGCAGTGCTGCTTAATGATCATTGTTCCTTAATGTTCATTGTGAACTTCTTAAAAATTTTATTTGAAAGTAATCTGTTGATTAAAGAGTACGTCAAGAAAGCCCAACCTGATCTTCCTAAGATTTAATCCTCTCCATCCAAAAAAACCACCAACAAAAACAAACCCAGCCCACCAAATCGCAGTAATATTTGGCTGAAACTCTGTTAAAAGCTTGTATTTCCAGATGGAGAAGAGACACCTACATAGTGTTGAAAATGGTTTTAAGAAAACATATCCACCTGATACAAGAAGACTCAGTTTTCTTTGGAAGACTGAAGGTCCAAAGGACAGAAGACTGAGCTAACTTCTAGTCCTCCCACAAACAAAAAAACTGCCAAATTCTTCTTTTTCCATATTTTACTTGCCTTTCCTTACGAGCAGCAGAGCAGCATCACTGTGAGAAGGATGGAGCTGCAGAGCAGAGCTCAAAGGCAGTACGTCACAGCCACAGCAGACACATCACAGGGGGCAAGAGCCCAGCTTGACTCTCACGTCTCCAGTTGCCTTTGTAACTGCGTGTGAAAAGGGAAATAGACACACAAAAAAAAAAAAAAAAAAAAAAGTTTCCCTAACACAGATCTCAAACAGCCTCTGCTACAAAGGGAGGCAAAGTGCCTTAATAATCCTTAACTTCAGAGCTGGAAAGAGATGAAAGAGTCATGAAGAATGAGCCACATTCCCCCAAAATGGCAAAGACAGAGGAGGAGGGGGAAAAAAATAGCAAAAAGCATCCGAAAACAATAACACTAACTATGATAAAATATCAAAGAAGAATGGAGAAAAAAAAAGAAAAAAGGAAAAAAAAAAGAAAGGAAGGAAAGAAGGAGGGAAGAGGCACATTGTAGAGCACAGAGAAACAAGAGAAGATGAGCCACAGAAAGCCACATTGTACAGGAAGCAGCATGACGTGGCACATCACTACCCCGGAAACAGTGAGAATGCCTCGAGGCATCCTCCCGAGATACAACTGAAAGTGTCTCTCCATGCTCCAGCATTGCATAAAAAGTGCTGGATAAACTGGAAACCGATCCTGGAAGGATGTGAAGGACTATAGTAGGGAGAAGAGGGTTTCCAACAGAGACAGCTACAAGCGGTGAGGGGAATTACAGACTAACAGGGAGCGGCTCACCAGTCTAAGTACAGTAAGGCCTGATCCATAGAGGTACTTAACGTTGTGAAATGAAAGTTTGCAAGAAGCTCTTACACACAGCACCACAGAAAATCCTGTGCAGATCGCATCTCACACTAGAGGTCCCCACAGGCTAGCACAACCCATGAAAGCCGGCTGCAAGCAGAGTTTTCCTTTCCTCCTTCGAAATAAGAGAGCTAAGAGCTGAAGATCATCCACTGGAAGGTGAGGAGGCACCTCGAAGGGCTAAGAGATCCTCCAGTAGCAATGGGCAGGTGAGTCCCTGCCTCCTGATTCCTCAGTGCAATTCCACACGGCTTTTCCTATGGCCAGGAAAGGCTTGCGGGCAGCTCCAAGCTCACCAATGCACCCCCTCGGGTACTTCTACTACCACGTCCCAGCCTGTCATCAGCTGCCACATACTGCGGTGGCAGCATTTCTTGGACCTCTAAATACCATATTTGGCTAATGTGCATACACGACTACTTATTATAAGCAAGAGAAACTCCAAAGGATGCTCAATGCTGAACACATTTCTTGCTTCCGGAAGAGAGCGCAGAAACCATGATTTTAGCCACAAAGCCCAGCAGCATAGCCAGAGATGCTCATTGCTATATGGAAGAGATGGACAATCTTCCCCCTTCTACAAGGCCTCTGGTTCCACACACACCTCTGGGACCTTGCACCTCACTGCAGGACCACCTGAGGGGTCACTAAATCACTTCCAACTCACCTTTGAAGCTCTCCTCTTCTCTTGCCAGAAGACGCACCATTTCCTTTCATCTCTGACTATAAAAATGGGCATATTAACTGCCTCACAAAGCTTTCAAAGTAATTCTGAACACCTGCATTTAAATACCTGCCTTATCTAGGTTGGTAGCAAGTACCTATATTCCTGGTCAGTCTGTTGCTTCAGACACATGCTTTCTCCCACTGCAGGGTTGCTTGCCTTAAGAAAGGGAGTGTACAGCTGTTCCTCGTCTCTCATACGTTAATAAATCCTCTGTGAGGCACCAGAACAAATTCACCTTAAAATATCTGCTTCTTCATGCATATACCTTTTTATGAGATTAATAAATCTAAGAGGATTCATAACAGTTACCGTGAATAACCAAGACACACGAATGGTCACAGAGCCAGCAAGCCCGTGACATTAGTACACATTAGCCCTGTTCAGGGAAGTATATTGTGCACCCGTCTGCGCCATACCACAGTGAATGGAGCCGTGGCATACATGCTTGTCGCAATGGCTGCAATAAGGAGTTTTACAGTACTTGTTTGACTCTGTGGCCTCAGGAACAGTTTGGGACAAGATGAGGTCTTTGTCAGAGAGTGAACAGCCCTATGCTTTCAAGAGGGACAGCTCACAACACATGTTTTGAGGCCATCCTACCTCCCAAGAGGTAGGAGATTCTACCTCCCAACTTTCCACTTTCAAGTTGGGTACAAAAACAACAGGTGACCTCAGCTCCATACCAGGACTTCCTGCCCAGTCTTTGGTTATCAACCCGAGCACAAAAAGGGGGTAGAAGGCCCAAAATACTACAGGCAGGTGGCAGTAAATAACCCTGGCTGCTGGGAAGTCCTCCACACGTCCAGCTGCGGGTGGCCAGAGAGCTGGCGCGTTGCTTTCACAGAATAGTGCTGTTTTCGCGGCACAAAGTGGCTCCGAATGTGCCAAAGTTACAGCGGGGCTCTTTTGTCTACTGCCTGTAACACTGTTTTATTCGCTTCTCAACTGGCTTGTAAATAAAAGCACCCCTAGGGCCCTCTTCTCTCACCAAAACACACATCAGCTACATTAATTGCTGAAAAGCTCTAAAGAAAGCAAGCTAGAAAGAAAAAAAGAAAAAAAAAACAAAAAGGGCTATAATAAAAGGCAGACAGACGGCAAGGGAGCGCACCGCCAAAGTCTGCATTCCTTGGCTCATCCCAGGGCCGCGTTGCAGAGGCTGCTTAGCATTCGTATAGCACACGCACACAATCAAAGCTAAAATCAACTTTTAAACCCTGTGCCGTCTCTTTTCAAGAGGGGAAGGCGAGGAGAAAAGGGGGAGGGCGCTGGGCTTTGCCAAGCTTAAAATTCACAGTACAACTGCACTGTGAATGGAAACCAACTTTGCCTGTGGCTGCCTTGGAAGAAACAAAAGCAGAGAGAAATAACGCAACCTCCAAAGGCTTTTTTTTTTTTTTTTAAATAATTTCTAAAGTGTGCCTTAGAAACCTTCAGATGATTCCAAGGCATTTTCAAATGAATCTCAGATGAGTTAAAAAAATGCTAGGAGAGTTATAAAAAAGTTCAGCAGTTCCAAGAAACAACACATTTGAAAGGAGCACAAGTTGAAAGCAGGGATTTCCCTTCAAAGAATAAACTGAAACACCCTTTTTTTTTTCCTCTCCTTGAAAATGAAATGACCTACTAGGAAAAAACAAAAAACAAATCCACACAATACCACCTAAACCAAAGGCTTTTTTTTCGCTCCCGCAGACAGCACCTTAACTACAAACCATACCTGCTCAGAAGCCAAGCACTGCAAATGGTAGATCTAAACATGCAACCTGAGCTTCACTCCCAGCTAAAGACACAGGAGAGGAGCCCAGCCTGGCAGAAAGGCTGCACCTACCCACCCAGAAGAGCAGAGCCACCACTGTTTCCTTCCTGGGCTCACACTCTCCAGCCTCTCCCTTGCTTTCCCAGAAAGCTTTGGCCACCTGGAACCATCAAGCTCAAGGCAGCTGGGTCCCCACAGACGGATCCAGCACTTCACTTGCCCTCTTCCCCCCACCCATGCACACAGCCAGGTGGCAGCACTTTGCTCTCACCTTCAGCAGGTGCAAGGAATAGCTCCCATTTTGGGGCTGGGAGGTGAAGGGACCCTACTTGTGGGGTCCTCCTGCGCAGCCTCATGGCACCTTGCAGTGCTGCAGTCATACGTGTGTCTTTAGAGGAGAATTTTTTCTCCCTGCTCTCTTGCCCTTTGGAAATAGGGTATTTCTGAGTGCTCACTTGCTCCTCAGATTACGATCAGGAAGCCTCTTGTGAACGTTCATACTACAGAGTTTAATGATGTCTCGTTTTACTGGAGCTTACATAGTCATTAACTTTATAAAGAGATTTTTAAATAAGATTACATTTCTCAGAGTACTGGATGTACCTTCCTCCAGCCCATGAGGAAACTGGCTTTACTGGTACGAAAGCACGGGCAGCTGCCCTGCGCTTTGTGCAGGCTGGGTCCCACGAACGCGCAGCGGGCTGGCAATACCCATCGCGCTCAGCAGCTCCGGAGCTGCTTCGGAGCAGCCAGGATTGTAGCTGAGCTTGTGCGTGAGCATCAAGCGTGCAAGCGCTAGAGGCTGCGTGTTCTCCCTTGAGACAGGGTTTACCCACGTGTGAACCATGCGATACTTGTTTAAAAGCTTTCCCTGGAGTTGTTTTTGTACGACAA